CCCCAACCAAAAAAGGGGGCCTGGGGGCGGAGCCCCCAGCGAGCACAAGGCGAGTCTAATTAACTATACAGCCCGATGTGTAACTCACTGATCAGGTATACTAATTCTAAACCACTTCTAGATGAGCTAGAGACTTGAAATTTTCGGCGTTTTGTAGGTCTTGTGCCCAAACCCTTGGGAAAATTCTGAAAAGTCGCATTTTTTTTATTTTAACCCCCCCTTATTCAAGAATTCCCCCCCCAATGCTATTCTTATGGGAAATAACATTGAAAAATGCCGACTTTGGTATGCTCATCTGAACCACTTAGAAACGTGCTAGAGACTTGAAACTTGGTGGTATTGTAGTATGGGATCTTACATTATCGGTGAAATTCTCAAAAGTCCCATTTTCAAATTTTAACCCCCCCAAAAATCCAAAATGGCGTACCTCTGAAAACGAAAAAACACGTTTTTTTTCAACCGGATGTAGCTCGAAAACGGTAAGAGCTAGAAAAGATTTGAAAGAATCTTAGCGAAAGGAAATTAAATTTTCTACAAAACCCTTGAAGGGCGTTTTCCGAAAATCGCACTCCTTAACCTTCAAAAAACGCCCTACTTTCAAAATTTGGTAATTTTTTTCAAATTTTAACGGTTTTTGCTACTTTTCCCAACTTAAGTAAATTATTTTTGCAAATATTATTAATGCTTTTTATTAACTATGGCTTACCTTAAATTTCAGTAATTTAATATTTTTTCGTATCTTTACTCCTTGACCCCCAAAACTTAGGTTTAATGTCAAAAATTGAAAGGTTTTTACACTATTACGAAGCCCCATGTTATTCTTATGGAGAATAGCTAAGCAATTTTAAGATTTTGGTATGCTCATCTGATCTGTTTAGAAACGTGCTAGAGACTTGAAATTTGGTAGTATTGTAGTTTGGGATCTTTAATTATCGGTTAAATTTGCAAAAATCCCATTTCCAAATTTAAACCTCCCAAAAAATCCAAAATAGCGGACATAGAAAAATGACAAAAATTTCAAACTCCTATCGTTCAAAAACGGTAAGAGCTAGAAACAATTTGAGGGAAAATCGTAGGTTTGGAATAAAATTTCCTACAAGACACTGTTGTGCGATTTTCGGAAATCACACTCCTTCACCTTAAAAAAACGCCCTACTTAAAAAATTTGGTAAGTTTCTTTCAAATTTTCATCGGTTTTCGCTATTTTTTCGTACCTATATATTTTTTTTTTTGCAAATATTATTAATGCTTTGTATACTCCTTAGTTTACTTTAAGTTTTACTCATTACATGTTTTTTCGTATTTTTACTCATTGACCCCCAAAAATTAGGTTTAATGTTGAAAATTGAAAGGTTTTACCACTATTACGAAGCACCATGTTATTCTTATGGAGAATAGCTATGAAATTTAAAGACTTTCGTAAACTCATCTGAGTTGTATAGAAACGTGCTAGAGACTGAAAATTTGAAGAGGATGTGTAACGTTACCTTGAATTATCCACAAAACTTTCAAAAGTCTCATTTTCTAATTCCCCCCCCCGATCCAAAATGGCGGACATCTAAAAACCACAAAATATGTTTTTTACGGCTGTAGCTAAAAAAAACTGTAAAAGCTAGCAAAGATTTAAATCAAACAGGAAAGGTAATAAAGTGGGGTTTTCGTAATAATTTCAACAGCTAGATTAGTATTTATTAAAAAAAATCCAAATTTTATCATAATTTAATCTATAAATAAACAACGTACAAAAGTTTATTTATTTATATCATTTAAAAAAAGCTACGGGGTTAAGACTAGGCATGTTTTTAGATATTGGTCCACCAGAAAATCCACAAAGAAAGTTTCTAAAGTGACATTTTTACATTTTAACCTTCTAAAAAAATAAGAATAAAAATGGCGGGTTTCGAAAAGTTTACATTTAGCGTTCTTTTAATACGTACGTATGTTGCTGCACAACTGTCGGTCTGATCGAAAACCGAGATCCTTATTTCCCTTAATTTAAAAATATCTACAAGAAATTTGTAATTGATAATTTCTTTCGATGTCACCCTTAGGTAACGTCTGATTTTTCTAATTTAGGGATTTTTACCTAATATTTTTTTTGTTCAAACGTTTGTTGCGGCTCAACGATCGGTGTGATCTAAAAACTGAGAATACTTACAGCTCCACAGCACCTTATTTTAAACGATTTACAACTTTGTAATTTATATGTTGTCCATTTTCACATTCTAACTTATGAATATTCCTCATTTCAATCTTTTTAAGTGTTTAAACCCTACAAAAAGGGCTAAAGACAAGAATATTATAAATTTCGACTACATGTAATTTCAAATTTAAATATGTGTGGATTTAAGAGTGTTCCACATATCCCTAATAATCTCCCACCCTCTCCCCGACAAAGATGTACGCTTTTTCGGACAGGATAATTACGGCCATACGGTAGTACTAGGATAATTATGGTATGAGATGAATTTATTTTGGTTTATCTTGATAGCCATTTAGACTTCAACTAGATAGATTAATATTGCAAACTTAAATTATTTTCATTTCAAATTAACGTATAGGTACCGACGGACGGGAAAAATATCAACCGTTTATAATGGGACCAAATTAACGAAAATTGGCTAATAGAAGCATTTCCCTAACATTGGTTCTAATCTTTATAGAATAAAATTACTATCACATGAATTCAATTTAAGATGAAACTTCTTATATAAATTATTATGGAGAATATAGCTCAATACTATACACTTCCTGAAAGCACAAAGCCTTGAAGGTAGGAAAAGATTACATTTAGTAGATCAATATTTTGTAAACAACTTAAAACGTAAACATTTCAGTGACAGTTTTCAGAAAGATACCCAGCTGCTAGATAAACTACATTGTTGTTGTATTAATAGTAAAAGATTGTATTAATACTTTACAATGAAATTGTATTGCATTAAAACAAACGTATAATCTTAGCATCGGCTGTTACGAAAAAAATTATAAAAACGCAATTCCTTGAAAACATAAATCCAAAATAAAAATTGCTTTGACATTCCCCATACTCTTAAAATTATCTTTCTTTCAACAGAATAATAATGAAAATCCGAGGTTGGTTTAGAACCTTTGAATAGAAGAAAAATCTCCACACGTTTGCATTAAAACAAACGTATAATCTTAGCATCGGCTGTTAGGAAAAAAATTATAAAAACGCAATTCCTTGAAAACATAAATCCAAAATAAAAATTGCTTTGACATTCCCCATACTCTTAAAATTATCTTTCTTTCAACAGAATAATAATGAAAATCCGAGGTTGGTTTAGAACCTTTGAATAGAAGACAAATCTCCACACGTTATAATATACACATACGATCATATTAATTCATTCATTCGTACTTATCAAATTAAGGTGTTAAGGTGTTTAAATTTTTACAGCGCACTCCATTGTAAGAAAATGACAGTTTTAAGCACCTGAATTAAGTAATTGTGTATTGCTTATGATATTTTGTAGGTCGGCCGCAATTCATGAACGACCGTTTTGGCACCAGCTCCTGTACAATAAAGAAATTTAGTTATGAAACGTCATTGCAATATTAATTAAAGTTTGAAGGAAAAACCAGTCTTATAAAATTTTAATTATTTTCATATATTGTGTTAAATTACGTAATGATCAAATAGCCTGACTGCGGTGTTAAATAATATTGTTAAGCCCAGCAGATTATACACATACTTTCATTACCTAACATACGATTATGTTATGTTATAAGGCCTAAATAAGTGTACGTAAGCTACTAATAGCAATAACTAGACCTACTGCAGTTGTGTCCAGTTTTATGTTTCATATGCTTTCAAGTTTCAACTTTGGAATCATATATACTATATGAAATTCACCTATTTGTTTTTCAATAACGAGGTATTTATTTTCTATACATTAAATTTTATACAAAATTAATTGTTCATATTGTCACATACACCAGAGGATATATCAGAGGAGAGGGGGTGAGTGCCTACGTCAGAACCCCCTCCATGGTAGTAGTAGAAGGGGTAACTTTCACCGCGACGCCGACGCCGACGTCTCATTTCTTGCTCAGCCACGTTCCTTGTCGGTTCATACTCCTGCCTGGTTCTTCCTTTGCTTTAGAAAATTCTTAGTTTTCTCCAAAGTTTAGCTTACTTTTACCGTGTTGAAGCCTTTGTAGCATTTAATTCTATTTCGTGGTTTTCATTGGATTTATCTGTTTTTCGTCCTTCAGTTATTGTCATTTAGTTTGGAAGTTTTCACTGACTGTTTTATAAACTCGTAGTTAGTGGACCCATTAGTTGTTAAGTAGTAAATATAAGTAGAAACCAAATATTGTGTGGTTTTTACTCTAGTTAAAAGTTTTTTGTTTGTTCCGTCGAGTTTTCTTTTAGCTAGAAAGTACGCGTTTTCATAGTTTTTTAGTTCTTAATCATATGTTGTTTTACTGACTACCACTATCATCAGTAGTGAGTAGTCTATTTCTTGTCAGTGAATAAATAATTTAGTAGTTTTATTTTTAGAGTAGTTGTCTTTTAATCGTAGGTTGTTTTACTGACTACCACTAACATTAATAGTGAGTAGTCTATTTCTTGTCAGTTAATAAATAATTTAGTAGTTTTAGTTTTTGAGTAGCTATATTTTAATTCCACAATCTGTGGAATTAGTAGTCAGTAGTCGTCTCATTACTTGTCTGGTTGTAATAGTTGTGTTTGGTCGCTGAAACCGTATGGTATCATTATTTAGATTTTTAGTTCTTCGTTATGTAAGTCTAGGGTTTTTTGTTATCTAGATCCTGGCGTGTTTACTTAGCCTACCGTTTGTATTAGTATATTAGCCTATTAAGTCAGGTTGTACTAACTTACCACCTGCTTAGGGACTCTTTGTGGTGTTTTACTTAGTTGCAAAACTTCTGCGTTTTATTTTTTATTTATCTTTTGTAGATTTTTTCTTGTATTTCAATTATTGCGTTAGAATCCGAATTTATTGAAGATAAAAATGGCATTTACTTGTGTGGCAAGCGGGTCGTTTCATCAAGGTGATCTGAGGTTTACCTACAGTAGAAACGCCCAATGTGTGGCAAACTCAGCCTGTGCCATCGCTTGGAAGTCTCTCGGGAAGGAATTTTGTACTTCTGCAATTGACTCCATACTCCTAAGTGGCGATACTTTGTATAGGTCGTTGCGTAGTGAGGCGTGTGTTGGTGGTGACAGGTTTTTGTTTCCCAACGAGATTCCACGTGAGTTTAATGTAGATGGAATTCAAGTTCACGTTGATGTTTCATATGTACATGATGCTTTGTATCCTCTCTCACGTGATGTATTTAATGATAGCGTTGTAGAGCTGGCCTGTGAACTAGAGGTATTGTTGGTGGAATCTTCGGAAAATGTAGGTTTTTTATTCACAGGGTTAAATGTGACTGTTGGCTTTTGGCGTAGGCAAGATAAGCTATTTCTGTTTGATCCACACGCAGTAAATGAAAAGCGTCGGCACGACATCAGTAACTGCCACAATAACTTGGCTCGCCTTTTCACTTGTGATAACTACTTTTCCTTGGCATCTCTGTTGCTATGCAATGTAGTCTATGACGCCAATGTACGCCAATTTTCGATAACACAATTGAAATTCAATAGCCATGTCTCATCCGCTTCACTTGACTTTGTGTTCAACCCTGTTATAACACCACTGCCCAGTCTAAATTTTACTCCTACCCCACATTGCCCTAGCCCTGAATTTCTAATTCTTAACGATTCTATCAACGAATCACTTTCACAGTGCCCCAGTCCTGATTTCCTCCAAGATCCTAAACTAAATTCCCTGAATCCAATTGTAGTAATTTCTCCTTTGAGAACGTCTAGATCCCTCCCCAATCTCCAATCTCCCCGAAAACGACCCGGAAGGCCAAAAAAGTTGAAACGTGGGCGCCCTAAATCTTTAAAAACAACAAAGGACGAACAAATTGCCGACGCAAAGAAAAGATATACGGATAGTCACCCGGGAAAAAATGCAGACGATGCTCGTCGTCACCGAGAAAACAACCCTGATTCTCATAGGGAGGCTGTCCGTATATACAGCCAATCCCACCCGGAAGTCAATAGGGAAGCTGTAGGTCGGTACAGCCAAACCCACCCTGGAGCCTCTCTTGAAAGGGTTCAAATTTTCCGACTGAAAAATCCTAAGCTCATTGAACTGAGACATTTGAACATTACCCTTGCAAGGACAATTTTTAACCAAGGCCCCATGGGAAGTTGGACGGGGGATCTACTTAATTCTATCTTACCATATAAATTGGCCAATACAAGTTTGTGGAGTAGTGAAGTTTTTAAGTGTCCTCATTGTGGCGCTCGGCTATTTGAGGAAGAAAAAAATCGCAGTATGTGGTGTTGTGGTAAAGGAGCCTACAATGTCCTTAATCTACCTCCACTTGTAGAAAATTTCTACTCGAATCGTTGCTTCCTCGAGAGAGCCCGAGCCTATAATGACCTTTTTGCCTTTTGTGCTCTCGAGGTATCAGGAGGTTACCGTCATCCTAGTGGCCTCTCCTTTTTCAAAATAGAAGGCAGAATGTATCATCAAATTTATAATTTGGACGCTCCGGGCCAAAAGTTCACCACTAAAGCTGGGGTAGTCCAATTTGTAAATCGATCGCGATTGTACATTGATGATGGTGAAGAGCGGAGAAATATCGCCTCTGGTAGATCACTAGATGCGGATATAGTTGATTCTATTTCTGAATTTCTCTCCCATGAAAATCCGTATATTATTAACTATCGCCGTTTGGGTAATGAGCCAGCGGTTAATGCTCACTTGGATTTTCAAGTCACAAGTAGAGCCACTCACGGTCCGGTCTTAGGTGACGGGCAGACAGGCGTCGAGGTACATGCAGTGCTCAGTACCGATGAGACTGTTCATGAACCTCGGAAATTGACAATTTGGAAAGTTGGGTCTCCTAAACCAACCTCTATAAACCTTTTTAGTCCCCTTATGGAACCCTTCCAGTACCCATTGCTCTATCCGGATGGCACTTTGGGCTGGCATATAGGTCGCCTTGATAATTTCAATAACAAGTTATCTCAGTATAACTACGCACGTTGCCTTTTGTTATCTGATCCTCGTTTTTCTCACATCGGCCGACTGTCTCAAGCTTGGCAGGTCGAGATGTTCGCACGATTCGAAGAGGAGAGGTTGAATTTTATCAAATATAATCAAACCAGGTCAGCTGAAAATGCCATGCGGATAGGGCCATTGGACGAACTGGAGACAGCTAGACGTAATAGTAATCAGCCAACGGGACAGATTTTTAACGAAATTGCCAATGACGAAACGATCCGAGGGGAGGGTGGAGCACAGCCGGGTAAAGTTTATCTTCCCAGTTCATTTACGGGGGGACCAAGATACATGAAGCTTCGTTACTTGAACGCAATGGCTCTTGTTTCTCGTCTTGGTTTCCCTACTTTCTTCCTCACATTTACATATAGTGCTACGTGGGAAGAAAACAAGAAGGCATGTCCCCGGAACAGCGGCCGCAGCGACCCCAGTACCGCTTGCAGAGTTTTCTACATTAAACTCCTAGAACTTCTCCGAGATCTCCGCAGTGGAGCAATGTTCGGCCGGTCCGTGTACATCGTACATGTCATCGAAATGCAAATGCGAGGCCTTCCACACGCCCACATTGTATTTAAGATTGACGGCGATGGACCGGTGCAGGCTGCTGACATTGATTTAATCATTCGATCTGACATCCCTTCGGAGGAGGAGGCTGGGGGCAGACTAAGGGAGTTAGTTCTGAGACACATGATCCATGGCCCATGTGGTACAGAATACAGAACTGACTTCCCTTGTTGGAACTCAGACAAAGGCTGCTGTTCCAAATTTTTTCCAAAACCTGTTTGCGAAACAACTCATATTGATGAAAAGGGGTTTGTTCAATACAAGCGCAGTTATGAGAACAAAGGAGTTATTACGTCAAGGAGAAAGTCTGTCACTGTTCATGATGGCTGGGTTGTTCCTTATAACTCTGCGCTACTTCTGAAATATGAAGCTCATATCAATTTAGAGCTAGCTTCAACTCGAAAAGTTGTTAAGTATTTGTTCAAGTACCTGATGAAGGGTGGTTCACTGCAGAATGTTACTGTTACGCCCTTAGGTCAGCAAGAAGATGAAGTACAGCACTATGTCACAAAGCGGATGGTGGGTGCTAGTGATGCGTGCTGGCGGCTTTTAGACTTTCCAATCTCTAAGTCTGAGCCAACAGTAGAGTGCCTTCCTGTACACCTTGAGGGAAAGCAAACAGTAACATTCTGTCCAACAAACTTGGCTGACGCGACTCTACAAGCTAGCTCTAATTTGCTATTGTACTTTAACAGACCTCTTCACTCTATTTTTGATAATTTAACATACCAATCATTCTTCGAGCAGTTTATAGTCCATTCTAAACGTCCACGTAGTGGAGAAGTATACGACCATCCCGACGGCAAACATTATATTACACCTCGACAACGTGGTACCAAGATCTGCCGGCTTTTTTGGGTTTCGCCAAACAGAAGCGAGCAATATTTTCTTCGTTTGCTGCTCATGATTTTACCATGCCGTGGTTACGCTGATCTGCTTGCACGTGGAGGTGATGGTTGTAGTACTTTCCAACAGGTAGCGCGAAAACTCGGCTTGGTTGAAGATGAGGATGAGTATGGCATTGCCATTAGGGAAGCTGCTCAATTCATGATTGGTTCGAAACTTCGATCATTTTTCGTTCTACTCTGCAACATGGGGGCGCCTGCGGCTCTTTTGTGGGAATCTTTCCGAAATACGCTTTGTGAGGACCATTTGGAACGCAACCCTCTTGATCATGAGCTCGCCTTTAAGCTATCTCTGCTCGAAATTGATCGCAGTCTCCGTCGACAGGGGTCTTGTTTGGCTGACCATGGCCTCCCAAGTGTGGAAGATGATACCACAGAATTAGGCAGAGAACTACTCGTCTACGGTGAGAACCAACAGAAATCACTTGTAGATGAGTGGGAACCAAAATTGTCAAATGATCAGAGGGCAGTCTTAAATCACGTTCGTTCGTTATTACAAGGAGATCGCCGGACAAACAGACTAATCTTCCTAGACGGACCAGGTGGCTACGGGAAAACGTTGTTAATTAGCGTGCTTCTCGCTTACGTTCGAAGCCAAAGTCAGGTTGCTATTGCTGTCGCTAGCTCTGGTATCGCCTCTGGCAACATGCCAGGAGGTACGACAGCTCATAGCATGTTCAGATTGCCACTTGACCTCGGTGACGGCACAGGCTATTGGAACTTGACCAACGGGTCTCAGCGGGCAGAACTAATCAGAGCCGCACAGCTCATAGTTTTTGATGAGGCACCGATGGCTCATCGCTACATTTTTGAGATTCTCGACAGATCTCTGCGGGATCTTATGAATTCACGTGAACCATTCGGTAACAAGATCTTTATCTGCTCGGGAGATTTCCGTCAGATCGCGCCCGTTGTTGCCAGAGCTCGAACGCCCGCTGATATCGCTTGTGTATCGCTCCGTGCGTCGCATCTTTGGTCAAGTTTCAAGGTGTTCTCTCTTTCTACACCTCACAGGACTAGTAATTCCAATGCATACTCCAAATTCTTGCTTGAAGTAGGCAATGGAACTATCAATACTGTTGTGTTTGGCGAGGGAAAGGACAGTTGCAGCTTGATACCACTGTCTGGCATTAGATATGTGACTTCCCTGTCAGATCTCATCGCTTTTGTTTTCCCCGATTGTGACCTGAATGACCCCGAACTTACGGCTAGACGAGCTATTCTTTCAACAATGAACGTTAACGTACGAAATATTAACGACATTGTTCTTAACACTTCAAGCGGGGTCGTACATAAGTTGAGAAGCGCCGATACTGTGGACAAGGAAAATGATGACGGCATGGACGTCGATGTACACTTGCTGAACCAGGCCACCGGCAAGGGTGTGCCAGACCATGTCCTGCGAATCAAGATCGGCTCCGTTTGCCTCATTATGAGGAATTTGAATATCGACAACGGACTTGTGAACGGTACAAAGGTAATTGTTACGGCGATTAGTCCTCGCTTGATTACTGCTAGACTTCCCGGCAAAACTGATCCAATTTGTATCCCTAGGATTCAATTTGTGTTTCCGTTTGTCGAAGGGTCGCCGCTTCGCATCCGCCGTCTTCAATTCCCTCTAATGTTGGCTTATTGTATGACTGGTCACAAAAGCCAAGGCCAGACGATCGATCGCGTTGGAGTCGATCTTCGGAGCGACTGTTTCACACACGGTCAATTATACGTCCTCCTTAGCAGGGTCAGACATCCTGACGACATCGTTGTTCTTGTCCCACCTGATAGAGTCCGCGAAGGAATAGCCTATGCGAAGAATATCGTATTTGACGAACTCCTTCTTTAGAACCGATTTTGACGTTAGCAGTAGGCTAGGGGATCTGCTTTACCAAAACTCCCCGTCGTGATTTGACATCTATGGCAGTACGATAGGGGGTCTGCCTAAAAAAAGTCCCCGATATTTTGTGTGTTTTGTGTGTTTTTATGTGTTTTGTGTGTTTTTGTGTGTTTTGTGTTACTGTTTGTGGTTCCGGCGTTTCCTGGCCTCCCCGTGGCGGAACTGGATATGCCATACAGTTTATGGCTAACCGACAGGGAAACAAACATTGCTTAGTCAAATTTCATTAATAAATTTATAATATATTTACTTGATATACTACAGCTGTTAATATAAATAATTGTAAATATGGTTCCGACGTTTCCTGGCCTCCCCGTGGCGGAACTGGATATGCCATACAGTTTGTGGCTAACTGACAGGGAAACAAAAATAACTTCATCTATTTTTATGAATATTTACATGATTAATCAATATAAGCTATTTACTACATACAATACTTTACTATTATCAACTTATTAACTTATAAATCTCACATATTCCTGAACTCGTTGTTACTTTAATATTGATTTTCGCTATTACGACCCCAATTATCCTTATTTTATCACTTCGTTTGACAATAACTCCCTAGTATAAATACCTTACCAACTTATAATCTTACAGCATTTAAAAAAGATATTTTTAATTATTTATTTATTAGGAGGGGCTTTGAATTTGATCTCGGACTTAGCTTGCCAACCTCCTTTAATATATTCATGAAATTGCTTTTGTCTAACGTCATATCGACAGTTTCACTTCCAGCTTTGTTACAACTAAACTCGTATCTACTAATCTTTTTTTATCAACTTTACAAACGATTTTTTTATAAGGGGTTCTTTAAGGTGGGGCTTGAAATTAACTTGGCAACCTCCTCCAATGTATTCGTAAAATTGTTTTTATATGACGTAATATTGACTATTTCTCTGCCTGCTTTGTTACAACTAAACTACTATCTACTAATGACGACTAACAGCTAGGGGGCCTGGGGGCGTTTTCCTATAATAACCCTTTTTAAGAATCCCCCCCAAGTTATTCTTATGGGAAATAACTTTTTAAGCTTCTGGCTTTTTTATGGGGTACAGCAGCCTTTTAAAAACTACTTTTCGGTAATTTACGTCTTACAGTTATTTTTATTTGTATTGCCTTCATGACTTCTTTACGCTTCTTGGTCTTGGCCTTTTACCCCCCTCCCCCCGGTTTTGAATTCCCCCGTTTATTTTTACAGGGAATAAGCATGAAAGTGGCTGTTAGAAATTTGTTACTAGAGATTTTAAACTTGCCAAGGATGTAGTAAGTAATCTAATAAGTCAACACCGCAGAATGGGGGACTGGAGATAGACTCTAATCTACTAATGACGACTAACAGCTAAGGGGCCTGGGGGCGGAGCCCCCAGCGAGCCAAAGGCGAGTCTAAATACTATACAATCCGATGTGTAACTGACTGGGGATACAAATTCTAGACCACTTCTAGATGAGCTAGAGACTTGAAATTTTCGGTGGTTGTAGGTCTAGTGCCCAAACCACCCATAAAATTCCAAAAAGTCGCATTTTCAAATTTTAACCCCCCCGAAAATTCGAATTCCCCCCCCATGTTATTCTTATGGGGAATAACATTAAAAATGGCCGACTTTCGTGTTCCCATCTGAACCACTTAGAAACGTGCTAGAGACTTCAAATTTGCGTAGTATTGTAGTAAAAGATCTTACATTACCGGTGGAATATGCAAAAGTCCCATTTTCAAATTTTAACCCACCCAAAAATCCAAAACGGCGGACCTCTGAAAACGAAAAAACACTTTTTTTTCAACCGGATGTAGCTCGAAAACGGTAAGAGCTAGAAAAGATTTGACAGTATATCCAGGAACAGGAATTAAATTTTCTACAAAACCCTCTTAGGCGTTTTCAGAAAATCGCACTCCTTAAGCTTCAAAAAACGCCCTACTTTCAAAATTTTGTAAATTTTTTTCAAATTTTTATCGGTTTTTGCTATGTTTTCGTACCTAAATAATTATTTTTTGCAAATATTATTAATGTTTCGTATTCTCCTTAGTTTACTTTACATTTCACCCTTTACATGTATTTTCGTAACTTTACTCCTTGACCCCCAAAAACTTAATTTTAATGTGAAAATTTGATTGGTTTTTACCGGTTTTACCAGCCCCATGTTATCCTTATGGAGAATAGCTATGTAATTTTAATACTTTGGTATGCTCATCTGATTAGTTTAGAAACGTTCTAAAGACTTTAAATTTTTGTAGTATTGCAGTATGGGATCATCCGTTAATGGTGGAATTTGCAAAAATGCCTTTTAAAAATTTTAACCCCCAAAAAAATCCAAAATGGTAGACGTATAAAAACGAAAAAACACGGTTTTTAATACCGACTATAACTAAAAAACGGTAATAGCTAGCAAAAATTTGAAAGAATCTTCATGAACAGGAATTAAATTTCCTACAAGACACTATTACGCGTTTTTAGAAAATCGCACTCCTTCACCTAAAAAAAACGCCCTACTTTCAAATTTTGGTAAATTTTCTTCAAATTTTTAACGGTTTTTGATAATTTTTCGTACATAAAAATTTTTTTCTTCAAATATTATTAATGTTTCGTACTTTCGTCGACGTCAGTTCCCACTGATGTTGGCCTATTGCATGACCGGACACAAGAGCCAAGGTCAGACAATAGATTCAGTCGGTGTTGATTTACGGACCGATTGCTTCACGCACGGGCAACTATACGTCTTGCTCAGTAGGGTCAGACATCCAGACCATATTGTTGTTCTCGTACACCCCGAACGTGTCCGAGATGGAATCGCATACGCAAAGAACATCGTGTATGGCGATCTCCTTCTCTAAACCTGATTTGACATTAGCAGTAGGCTAGGGGATCTGCTTAATCAAAACTCCCCGTTGTGACTTGACAACATCGGCAGTACGATAGGGGGCCTGCCTTATCAAAAGTCCCCGTTGTTGTATAAAGTAGTTAGTAAAGTTTACTAACTTGTACATTTGTAAATAATTGTAAATATGGTTCCGACGTTTCCTGGCCTCCCCGTGGCGGAACTGGATATGCCATAAATTGTATGGCTAACCGACAGGGAAACAAACATTACTTGATCTATTTTCATAAATATATACATGAATATCTACTATAATCTATTTAATTCATATGATACTTTACTATTATCAACTTATTCACTTATCAATCGACATACTAATCAATCTACTCATCTTATACAACAGTTCTCTAATTTGTACATTTGTAAGTAATTGTAAATATGGTTCCAACGTTTCCTGGCCTCCTCGTGGCGGAACTGGATATGCCATACAGTTTGTGGCTAACTGACAGGGAAACAAACATTACTTAATCTATTTTCATAAATATATACGTCATGAATATCTACTATAATCTATTTTCTATTTACATCATATATACATGAATATCTAATATAATCTATTCACATCATATAATACTTTACTATTATCAACTTATTAACCTATCAATGAACATCAATATAAATTTACTTATCTTGTACAAAAGTTTACTAACTTGTACATATTCAAATAATTGCAAATATGGTTCCGACGTTTCCTGGCCTCCTCGTGGCGGAACTGGATATGCCATAAAGTTTATGGCTAACCGACAGGGAAACAAACCTTACTTAATCTATTTTCGTAATTATATACTTGAATATCTACTATAATCTATTTACTTCATATAATACTTTACTATTATCAACTTATTTACTTATCAATCTCCTCTAATAAATTCATGAAATCGTTATTACTTTAATGTCGATTTTTACTATAACGAACCCTTCTCTCCTCATATTATTACTTCCTTTGACCAAAAACTCAATTGTAAAAATACTTGACTAACATACTCACTTACCGCAACTTAAAAAATGATTTTTTTATGAGGTGTTCCTTAAGCTAGAAGTTATCTTACTCAAAGTTAACTTATATAACTTAATATTGACGGTTTCACTTCTTGCTTTGTTACAACTTAACTCTAATCTACTAATGACGACTAACAGCTAGGGGGCCTGGGGGCGGAGCCCCCAGCGAGCCAAAGGCGAGTCTAAATAACTATACAGCCCGATGTGTAACTCACTCAATGGGGATACAAATTCTAGACCACTTCTAGATGTGCTAGGGAGTTGAAATTTGGCACGATTGTCGGTCTTGGTACTAAACCCCCGGGAAAATTCTGAAAAGTCGCATTTTTTTATTTTAACCCCCCCTTATTTAAGAATTTCCCCCCCAATGTTATTCTTATGGGAAATAACATTGAAAATTACCGACTTTGGTATGCTCATCTGAACCACTTAGAAACGTGGTAGAGACTTCAAATTTGCGTAGTATTGCAGTATGGGATCTTACATTACCGGTGGAATTGGCAAAAGTCCCATTTTAAAATTTTAACCCCCTCAAAAATCCAAAATGGCGGACCTCTGAAAACGAAAAAACACGTTTTTTTCAACCGGATGTAGCTCGAAAACGGTAAGAGATAGAAAAGATTTGAAAGTATATCCAGGAACAGGAATTAAATTTTGTACAAAACCCTTTTTGGCGTTTTCCAAAAATCGCACTCCTTCAGCTTCAAAAAACGCCCTACTTTCAAAATTTGATAAATTTCTTTCTAATTTTTACCGGTTTTCGCTATTTTTTCATACTTAAATATTTTTTATTTTCAAAAATTATTATTGCTTTGTATTCCTCTTACTTTACTTTAAATTTTACTCATTACATGTTTTTTCGTAACTTTACTCCTTGATCCCCAAAACTTAATTTTAATCTCAAAATTTGAAGGTTTTTTGCCACTTTTACGAGCCCCATTATATTCTTATGGAGAATAAGATTGAAATTTAATGACTTTGGTATGGTCATATGAATCGTTTAGAAACGTGCTAGAGACTTGTAATTTGGTAGTATTGTAGTAAGGGATCATAAGCTAATGGTGAAATTTTCAAAA